GGATTTTCACCAGCATGTAAGGAAGACGACTTACCAGAAAAACAATTAACCCCATAAAATAGCTGGTAGGAATTTAATTTGAAGTTTAGACTACAACAAAACTAACCCGAGAGGAGAAATAGTATGATGAAGTTAGGTACGATCATAGCAGGGTAAAAACACTCCGGAATCGAACTTGACAGATCTTGGTGTTGCACAGATTTAAAACAAGAGAAATAAAGCGGTAGAAATCACTCACCTCGGTGGCACCTAGGTTTTCTATAACTGCTATCTTGTTTCCTGGAGACGAGAAGAAAGGAGTTAAGAAATGCGTGGCCGAGATAGGGAAAGAAGTAAGAGTTGAGAAAAGACAGACAACCTCGAAGGTCCAGTTCTCGCTCCTTAATGGCATTGAAGAAATGAGGGCTTTTCCAGATTAAATCGACTGTGAGTCTCACCATGTTCTTCTGAGTTTAGTTCACTGGACGACGACGACGACGACGGGGGTTTAGGGCTTTAGGGCGAGTGTGAGTGAAGGGAACGCGTCGGCGACAAGCGACATCAAAGGCAGCGCAGCGTGGATCGAAAGAAGACTCGACGTTCAACTTTCAGACCGAGCCAGCGCCTTTATGGATTTCCAGACGGCCCAAAATAAATTCACATTTGGGCTTCTCACTTGGGCGAATTTTGGCCATAATATTCTCAATTAAAATTATTAATTTTATTTTTCAGTTTTTTCAAAATTTGTTTTGAGTTTCTCATTATACGATCCTTTGCCCAGTTGACCAATTTTTGTGTTACTCTCCCGTTTATTTATTTATTTTACTATATTTAATTTTCTTCCATTAGTATTATTAGGATTTTTTTAATTTTAATAATTTTAAATAATTTCATTTTACTTGCTATATTTTGAGCCTTCATCCTTATTTCTTTACCATGATAATTTGTTCCTTTATTATAATAGTTTTGTCTATCATTCTTTTTCATATATACTTAAATTTATGTACCGTTTACTATTATAATTATTTTCTATACCTTTTGTACCTGTGAATAATATGATGTTCGAGTAGAAAATGAGTACATAGATTAATTGAAATTGTATTTGAATGAGATGAATTTTGAGAATATATAAATACTATTAAAAAATGTTTAAAATACTTTACTATTTCTAAAATCACTACAAACATTTTTTTTTTTAATTAATCTTGCTTAACTTTCCTCTACAATTAAGGTTATTTTGAAAAACAAATGGAAAATCGAGATGCCGACATTCGAGGAGGACTCAAACCCTCACATTCTTTAACACGTGGTAAGCCTGAGATTATGATGGTCGGCTAGGCGTCTATATCGAGTGTCTAGCCTAGTTTATATGCACTTTGACTTAGTCTAGCACTATCCTAACTTAATTCATTCTTTCCAACCTTTTTATTATTTTTGTAGGAGACAATATGAGTATTAAATTGTTAGTTAGTAAGCAGCTTTTGAGTATTGTGAACTTGAAATGGTGCTAAATGAAGATAGTGGTGTTAAAAAAAGAAGATAGTGGTGTTCAAAAAAGAAGATAGTGGTGTTCAAAAAAGAATTCACTTGGTACCATCCAGCTTTTTATTGACCAAAACATAGTTAACACACAAAAACCAGAGAATCAAAGTGGAGTTGGTCGAAACCAAAAGAAAGCATTTTTCATCCCATGTCAGACTAATCTAAGCCTTGGCTTTGAAGCTGATATGAAGCCCATCTCCAAATTTCAGAATAGGACTTCGAGAAATGTCTCCTCCCTTCACCTTTCTCCAACTGCACCCAACAAACCCGACTCGTCTCAGAATAGAACACGAAAGTATTTCGAATTTGTATCTAGTGGTTCGTAAAATATACCTGTACTTAGTGAGCAGAGTGTGGAGGAAGATGGCCATGAAAACCCTGCTGTAATCTGCCCCAGCGCATTGCCGAGATCCTCCTCCAAACGGCTGCAAGTTCTTCGAAATTGAGTGTTGGTCTAGGTCCTGCAACAATATTACAAACCAATCACCTGCATATCATCCCTTCCTACCTATAACCTGTCCTATAATAGTCCATAATATACCTTCCACCGCCATGGGTTGAAGTCCAATGGATCCTTGTGGGTGCCAGGGTTCAAGTGGAGAGCTGAGTTTGCAACCATAAGCGTCCACCCCGCTGGAATTGTATATCCTACACAGCATTTCCACCACCATTTCAATTCATCACTCGTCTAAAAAGACTCTCATTATCAACACAATTGTAAATGACCAGCTTCTTACCTTTGATGTTCAGGTCCTTTATTGTTCGCCGCAGTAGAAATGGCAGTGCGTTTGACAACCTCAGAGTTTCATATATAACCTATATGCACAACCCTACATCTTTAGGAACCAAAATAAAGTAGTGTTTATAAACTTAATTTTCGAACCGTAACTTCCTACTTGAAGCGTAAATGTCATTGACTTATACTCCTCCCAAGTGATGGGAGATTCTGGATCCTTCCTCTGTTTAAGAAACGCTTCATGCTCGGCCTGCCGATCAGTTAAATTGTGTTAAATAAGAGTCAAACAATCCACAATTATGCAGGCAGAGTGTTGTAATGGAAGCGAAAGAAATATCGATCACACTCACACACCCACAAACAAAAATTACACCCACAAACAAAAATTAAACATAGAGACACAGAGCCTACGTTGGTAGCAACTAACACACTCCACCGATGGATTAATTACTTACAGTCAACTCCCGCACCACAGATGGATTCTCTGCAAGTAGCTTGAGCATCAAGGTGAGCGATCCGGACACCGACCCACTAGCGAATAAAATTCCGAACAGTAAATTCACAACGAATTCCTCAGATAGAAATTGTTCGCTGCCAATGTCGCGCAGGGCCTGATCAAGAAAATCCCCTCGAGCATTAGCAGCAGCAGCTTGACGCCTCTCCTTGACAAGATCCTTGAACATGTTGACCAGCTTCTTTTGCGCCTTGAGACATTTGTTGTACTTCGTTCCTGGCAAGTTCAACGGGACCGCCATAAACCCGTCTGCTAATGTGATTAAGCTCTCGCTGATACTCTCGCTCGACTTCTCTGGGTCATATCCGAACATCACATCCGCGTTGAAATCGTATAGCATCTGGTTGGTTGTCGGGGTCAGTACGTGATGTGGAAGACACCATTTTAGCAATTAAGATGCGAAACTTACAGCGAGAGTCCCGTGCTGCATTTCAACAGACGGACGGCTGGACCACTGGACCAGAACCTTGTCGACGCATCGCTGGATATCAGCAAGCAGCTTCGTCTTGAGACTTTCGGAGCCAAAGTGGTTCAAAGTGATACCTCTGAGGTACTTATGAATCACGCCGCCCGCGGTTGTCCTAGTGTCGCCGTCTTGCTTGAGCACCTTGGAAATGGAGTCCAAATACCAGAGCTCCACCGTCTTCCCTTCTTGAGCGTAAATGAAACTGTTGATTTCAGGGTCAGCCGTAACCACAATGGATCGACCCACCAGACTGGTCCGAAATATGGGTCCATATCTGTAATAATTCAAACTCGAGATTAATCAAACATCTTATTATAATAACAGTATAACCCAATACAAATCTCCTCCGCCCACCGCCTTACTTCTGCACTCTCTTCTTGATAAAGGGAGGAAGGTCCAGAGTGTTGCCGGAAGCTATAAGCTGAATGGTCTCTCCGATGAGAGGGAAGCCCATGGAGCCCGGAGGAAGGACTCCATTACATTTAGGATTTCTCCACCTGTAAACCAAGTGGGTCAAAAGTATTATCACCACTGCTCCGATGGCTAATCCCGGCGACCACATTGATAATTGGAGCTCCATTGACAGCTTTCTTGGTAATCACAGAAGCTCCAGAACTTGTGCAATGCTTTTAACAACAAATAATGCTATAGGACCGTCGGAGCATGCCCACGTGAAACATGTCAAGTAAGTTGCTTCTCGAATTTTGTTTAAAATAAGAAAATTGCATCTAACTACGATGGACAAAATCATTGTCCAAGGTTTGCCTCTAGGCGCCAGCATCGTGATTCACGTTTTCTACTACATTACAGCAACGGCATTGGATATCCATTATTAATTTAAGAGATATCTTTTTTTTGGGAAAGCTCAAGACAAGTCACTGGACCTTATGCTCAAAGTGGACAATATTATACTATTGTGGAGATCCATGATTCCTAATGTTAGAATCGATACCAGTTGTAGCTCTGATTCCAGTTGTTAAGATCGCTCAACAACCCACATTCGATCAAGATGAACACAAAAACCAGAGAAAAAAATTCAAGAAAGAATATTAGCTAAATGTTTTATTAATGGTACTAGAGATATTACAGAAAAGGAAGAAAGTAATAGGGTATATATATGGTTTCAATTTACTAGAATGTAGCTTCTAAAGATTTAAACCTACTAGATATAATCTACCAGGCGGTGTGCCAGTAAGAACGTTGGGCCCTGAAACGGGTGGATTTGGTGGCAGTCCAACATCGATTGGAGAAAGGAACGAGTGCCAGCAAGGACGCTTGTCCCGAAGGTGGGTGGATTGTAATGTCCCACGTTAGTTGGGGAGGGGAACAAAACACCATTTGTAAGGATATGGAAACCTTCCCCAATAGACGTGTTTTAAAGTCTTGAGGGGAAGCCCAAGAGAGAAAGCCAAAGAGAACAATATCCGCTAGCGGTGAGCCTGGATAACAAGTATATCTCTACCAAATATTTATCAAATATGTGATCTTTATAAAATATCTTTCAAATATATCTGTACGTCTAGACACCATGCTTCATATTCCAACACCGAGCACTAACTAGCACTAGCCGCATAAATTAGTAAGCAAGTGGTTAGGGCGTGCATCACGTGGTGATGAAAATTTTATGAGCGGATGGATCTATAATGAGCCAAATCCACTCATCAAGGAAGGAAAAAGATTAGATTTTTGGGTGGTGACACACGTGATACATGCCAAAATTTTGGCTTTAATATGAACAACTCTTAGATGCGAAGTTAATCAGATAGTGCAGCTAGGAGAGATGGCATTGAGTGTGAAGATCATTAGCGAGGAAAAGATCAAACCTTCCTCTCCAACGCCGGAAACCCAAAAGCATTTGAAATTCTCCTTCTTAGATCAGCTAGCTCTGCCTGTTTATGTACCCGTCCTTCTTTTCTACGCTCCAGGCGGCGATGACAATCAAACATCCAAGTCCCACCTCCTGAAAGCTTCCTTATCCAAGGCATTAGCCCAATACTATCCATTCGCTGGCCGAGTTCAAGACAATAATGTTTCAATCCATTGCAACGACGAGGGAGCCATCTATGTGGAAGCCCAAGTCAACTGCCGTCTCTCCGACGTCCTCAATCAACTCAACGTCGACTCACTCAACCAATTCCTCCCTTTCTCCATCGCATCCTCCGACTCTGCCAAAGCCTGCATTCTGCTTGTCCAAACCACGTCGTTCCAATGCGGTGGCATGACAATTGGCTTGCTCATGTCCCACAAAATCACCGACGCCTCATCGATTAGCTCCTTCATCAACACCTGGACTGCCATTGCCGTGGCAGGGGATGATTCCAACGCAACAATTTCTCAACTCCCACTTCCGGAATTCATCAGCGATTCTGTTTTGCAACCGCCCCAGGATCTCCAAGTTGCAACGCCCACGTCAGACACAGGAATCCACGCGAAAGGCGTGACGAAGAGGTTAGTTTTCGAGGGATCCAAAATAACAGCTCTCAAGGCAAAGGCAGCCAGTGCCAGAGTGGAGCAACCCACACGTGTGGAATCTGTAGCTGGACTGATATGGAAATGCGCCATAGCTGCATCCAAATCAACTTCCGGGGTTTCAAAGGCGTCTGTGCTCGGCCAAGCCGTGAATCTCCGGAAAAGATTGGAGCCCAATTTGTCGGACACGTCGATCGGGAATCTGTTGGGGTTCATCACGCCGGAAACGAAGGCAGGGGCGGTGGAGGAGATAGAGTTGCAGGAGGTGGTCGGTTTGTTAAGGGAAGGGATTGCGGAGTTTAAGAAGAGTGGGTATAAGAAATACCAAGACACGGAGGCTTATCTGGAGTTCTTTAAAACGATGACCGACCCAGACGGTCCGTACAGCAGCGACAAGAATTTCTACTTGTGTAGCAGCTGGAGCAGATTTGGATTTTACGAAACTGATTTTGGGTGGGGATGTCCCGTTTGGTTCATCGGCGGACTTTCCATGTTCTCCAATTTTTTCTTGCTGATGGATACAAGAGATGGGCGGGGAATTGAAGCGTTGGTGACTCTGAGTGAAGAAGACATGGCTGTGTTCCAACGCGATGAAGATCTGCTCGCGTTTGCGTCGTTCAATCCCGACGTCATTCAAGTCGCGGACTCGAAGGGATCAAGCAGAGTGTGTGAAGGCAAAAGTACATCGGAAGTCGCCGTCGGCTCCGATGTACAAGTCCTCAGCGTTTGAATTTTTGAAATCGTATTATTCCAGCTTGATTTGTTGGTTGTCGTTACTCCGCCGCCAAATTAATTTCAACCTTCAGAATGTTTTGCTTTTATTTACGTTGAACTCTAATTTATCTTTAACAAACGTAATTAAAAATAGTTACCCAAACGTCTAAAGGCATAACCAAGAAACATTTTGAAATTATAAAGTTAAAAATGAAGTAATGAGAAAAAATAGACCATATCAACTATGGACTTAAACTTTTACAAATGTTATTAGAGTTAAGTTTCATACCGTATGCCAGTGAGTATGTTGGACTCTCGAAGGGGTGGGTTGTGAGATCTTACATCGGTGGGAGAGAGAACGAAGCATTTTTTTTTATAAAATGCGTGGAAATCTCTCTAATAGGAACGAAGCATTGTGAGGTTGACCTTGATATGTAACAGACCAAAACAGACGATCTCTTTTAGCTATGTGTTTAGGTTGTTATAGATATTATCATTTTTTAGCTTAGTCTTGGATTTTCAAAAGGTCTCATACTAAAAGAAATATATACTAATGATTTTTCTTTTAGTTAACTAATATAAGACTCCAACCATTTTAATTCATTCTTGATTGAGATAAGCCAATATCAAAGTTCGATTCAAAGAAATAGAATTCTCTATTAGTAATGACAAAATAAGAATTTAATAGGGAGAAGAACGTTATCATAGCGTATTCAAAATGCTTACATAACCAATATTATTAAAAGTCTCAAACTTTTTTATAGTTATGTTCACGGTTAAGTAGGCTAAAAGATTTAAGGTAGGAAAGGTGAGAACATAAATGAGACCTTATGGTAGGTTATTTGGGACGAGTTAAACATCCTTCCTTTTGACTTAACTTTATTCTTTGCATTGAAGGCACAAATTTTTAAGGATTTTTATTTCATAATAGTTCCCAAAAAATTCGTAGTGAACCCATCTCTCTGCATAAATGAGTAATGATTTTACACATTTTCTTCTTATTTATGATGACGTTTTGATCTACTAAACTGTTGAAGACTATTGGGAAGAGTCCAACATTAGCTAATTACGAAGACGCTCATAGGTCACTCTATTGGTATGAGATTTTTTTAAAAAAAAATAATCATTAGAACTTATATTGAAAAACGGGTGAAAGAGAAGAAGAAAAACGTGGATCACGAGAAGTGGATGAATTTTAATGATTTTAATATACATAGATTATTGGTATTGTCAATACAAATGTGGAATATTTCATCGGCATGTGAGGTGGTGGTGGTGGTGGTGCGGCTGCTGCTATCCTCCAAAATTGAGCGTGTTTGTTTCCGCCACACGTGATGCACGCCAAGCCACTCCCTATTGGGGCGAGTCCATCAACTCGGGCGAAGCGGATCTTCGTGTCAAGCTGCAACTCGCATTGATGTCAAGTTAGACATCGGGGCCATTTCTAGGGTTTTAGTACTCTTATCTTTTATTATGATTGTATTCACCCCACGTGATACACGCCAATCCATTTCAGATCCCAAATTACCATTAATTTACTACTTCGAACTTAGTTAGTTAGTTATATATATCTATATATATGTTGAAACAAGGCTGGGTGGGTATCACCCGAATCCCACAAGAATGGACGACTCCACATTCCTGTATTCAGCTCTCTGCATTGCTCTCGTGGTTGCCATAAGCTATGCTCTGAAACCAAAGTCCCACAAAAATCTCCCTCCAACGCCACCCTCTATCCCAATTATAGGCCATCTCCATCTCCTCAAGCCCCCAGTTCACAGAAGCTTATTAACTCTCTCACAGAAGTATGGCCCAGTGCTTTCCCTTCGTTTCGGCTCTCGTTTAGTCGTCGTCGTCTCATCCATCGACGCAGCCGAAGAATGCTTCACGAAAAATGATGTCGTTTTCGCTAACCGTCCAGACTTTGCTGTGAGTAAGTGCTTGAGTTACAACCACACCACCCTTGGAGCCGCTCCCTATGGCGACCACTGGCGAAAACTTCGCCGAGTGAGCGCTCTCGAAATACTCTCCGCCAATCGTCTCAACACGAATTCCGCCATTCGAAGAGATGAAGTGAGGAGATTGGCAAATAAATTATCTCAAACTTCGAGAGATGATTTTGCAAGAGTGGAGTTTAAATCCATGGTGAAAGAACTGACGCTGAATATAACGATGAGAATGGTGGCCGGGAAGCGATATTATGGGGAAGAAACAGATGAAAGCAGTGAAGCCATGACGTTTCGAGCTATTGTCGATGAGCTGTTCGAGTTCATGTTAGCGCAATATCCAGCTGACTTTTTGCCGATCTTGAAGTACATTGATATCCAGGGCTTCATGAAGAGAGCCAAGAAGCTCATCAAAAGGGTGGATGCATTTTGGCAAGGAATCGTTGATGAACATCGAACCAATCAAATCCATAATCAAGAAATGGAGAATAGTATGGTTGCCCATTTCCTCAAGTTGCAGGAGTCGCAGCCTCAATATTACACCGATGACATCATCAAAGGCCTCATTTTGGTCCGTGCTCCCAAATATTTACTTACCGTCACAAGTTTCATCCACAAACTTTTATAATAATATCTTATCATTCTTTTTTATCTTTCACAGACAATGGTACTCGGTGGCTCAGACACCACTGCGGTGACAATAGAGTGGGCAATGTCAAATCTCCTAAACCATCCAACGGTACTAAAGAAGGCAAGAGCTGAACTAGAGACCCAACTCGGAGATCAATTACTTGAAGAATCCGAGGTTCCAAAGCTAAGCTACCTACGATGTATAGTCCTCGAAACTCTTCGATTGTACCCAGCTGGCCCACTCCTACTGCCACATAAGTCTTCTGCTGACTGTACATTATCAGGATACGACGTGCCACGTGACACGATCTTATTGGTGAACGCGTGGGCCATCCATAGGGATCCCACATTGTGGGAAGATCCAACAAGCTTTAGACCTGAGAGGTTTGAGGGTGGGGATGGCGAGGCCAATAGTAAGTTGATGATTGCATTTGGTTTGGGAAGGAGAGCTTGTCCAGGATCTGGAATGGCACATCGCGTGCTGGGATTGACTTTAGGACTGCTGATTCAATGTTTTGATTGGAAGAGCATTGATGGGAAGGAAGTCGATATGACGGAAGGAAAAGGTGTTAGCATGCCTAAAGCTGAACCACTTGAAGCACTTTGTAAGCCACGACCAATCGCTAGCAAGCTGCTGCTTTGAATCTATTTTGGAAAACAGTAAAAGGGTATGCAATAAATTTACAGTGTTAAGAAGAACGTTGCACGTATGTATGCTCGATTGCTCCAAATCCGAGTGTTAATATAATTAAATTTATCATAACCCAACAGCTTTCATGTCATCTAGAAACGTTCCGCAGAATGCATTCTATCTTATATTCTAACAAGTACCCTCTAATGAAACTGCAAACATTCATACTCTTTCAGCATTCCTCATTATCAGTGAACTAGCGGTACCTAGTTATATAGTTTCATCAGAGGCTACCTTGGCTCTGGCGGGGCTAACTCACGAGAGATTGGCGATGGCTCTGTTGGAGTGGGAGTGGGTGGTTGAACCAACTTCCTGTCCATGGCCATTGAGAAACGATTGGATCCTCCCAAACTGTCTATAGACCTCATGTATTCTGAAGCGTTGTTCTCTATGATTAAAGCGTCCTCTAGCTCACGCACGATGTCAGCCATGCACGGTCGATAGGCCGAGGATGGCTCAATACAAGCCAATGCCACCTCCACAACTCTCCACATTGCCTCTGTGTGGTACCCTCCTTTGATGGAAGGATCCACAATCTCGTCGACCTTCGACTCTCTCAGATTAGTTTTGGCCTGCATTTCCAAATCCATTTCTAACTTCTTTTTTACAAGAAATCGAGGTTTAAATTGAAGGCTACTGCCCACAAGGCCCATTAGATATTAAAATGAAGTTGAGATATGATGGAATTGGATCATACCCATTCAACCAAGCTCCATTCATTGCGTGGTTTATGAATGTTCAGCGGCTCCCGACCGCATATGATTTCAAGGAGAACCACACCAAAGCTGAACACATCGCTTTTAGCAGACAAATGATGGGTCGTATAGTACCTAAACAACAAATATGAATCACAAACTTTTATACGTAAATGCAAGCCAGAAACACAAACTAATGAACCGTTTTTCAGGATCTAAATGCTTACTCAGGATCTAAATATCCAGCAGTTCCTCTGACCTCCAGAGAGGCACCACTGTCACCCTCTTGAGGTGCATATTTTGAGAACCCAAAATCTGCAACCTTGGCAGACATACTATGATCTAAAAGTATATTGCTTGATTTCACATCTCTATGTATAACACATCGCTCAGCAAACGTGTGAAGATACGTCAAACCTGAAAAAGACAAAATATAGGATCCCATGAAATCCCCTAAACGTCCATATCAAACTGCTAAACGAAAGGTCTCAACTCAAAAGCTCTCTCGTTTGGGGGAAGTGTTTCAACTACACCAAAATCCTCGATTAAAGATGAAAATAATGTAGAATCTATGAGAAGGCAACTATAATAGCCTGAGGCCACTGCTAGCAAATATTGTCCTCTTTAACCCGTTACGTATCGTTGGGATGACGGTTTTTAAACACGTCTGCTAGGAAGAAGGTTTCACACCCTTATAAGGAATGTTTCGTTTCTCTCTCCAACCAATGTGGGATCTCACAATCCACTCCCCTTGGGGACCTAGTGTTCTCGCTGGCATACCGCCCGGTGTCTAACTCTGATACCATTTGTAACAGTCCAAGCCCACCGCTAACAAATATTGTCCACTTTTGCCTGATACATATTGCCATCAGCTTCACGGTTTTAAAACGTGTCTATTAGGGAGAGGTTTCCACACCCTTATATGAAATGTTTCGTTCTCGTCTCCAACCGATGTGGGATATCACAATCCACCCCACTGGGGGTCAGTGTCCTCGTTGGCATACCACCCGGTGTCTAGCTCTGTTACCATTTGTAACAGTCCAAACCCACCGCTAGCAGATATTATCCGCTTTAGTCCGTTACGTATCGCCGTCAACCTCATGATTTTAAAATGCATCTACTAGG